AACAACGGATGAGATTAATACATTATGTATTATTAACAGTTTTCAACTGTTTTTAATAGAATAAAAGTTTCCCTAGAAGTTTCCGGTGGACATTTTTTTGGAATAGAAGAATTTTTTCAATTGAAGAACTTGAAAAAAGGACACTTTTTATTTTTTAAATTATTTCAGAAAAATTTATCACAAATTGTCCACGAAAAGTATCAAACATGAAAAATTTAAAAAAATCGACTGAAATTGTCGACTCACCTCCGATACCATCAAGCCAATGAGCAGCAGTGTGAAAGAACTTCGACTCAGCATTTTTCTAGCTTCGAACTATTAAAAGTTTACTATGAACGTATCAATTGGTAAGAACTGTTTGATGGACATGCGAATCGAACGCATCCCCTTATATACTCTTCAAGTGTGGCCACGTCGGTGGGCAACACGCTGTATGATTCAATCGACGTACAATGACGATTCTAATAAAAGTCCACAAAATATTATCGCACACATTTTTCAAGATAACAATGTCAGAACAATTAATGGAATTACAATTGCACCTGTGCACGTGTGTTTAATTTCGCGTTTCACATCGAATGTTTTGCATTGAAAATATCAGATGTTTACATTTGTTCTTTCATCACCTTCTTGAAACTACAAATTCAATGTAAAAATTTAAAAAGTAAATATCTTTCACTATTGAAGGTGGTGTTACTATGGCACGTGCCTGTTCAAATTTAAAAATGTTCACATCTTCGCTGCATGCACAAAACACATTCCGTTTCAAAGTCGACCCAAAGTTGACCACAGATCAACCGTCGCTTACATGATGTAAATTAGAATGAGAATGATCAAACGACATGACTCATACCTTTGCGTTACATTCAGGCTCACATGCCATGGTTGCGTTGCTTTGTGTTAGTTTATGCAAGGATATACGGCATCACATTTACTTTACATCACTCAATAAGGTATAGGTAGGATACGATGATATTGATACAAATCTACGCATTCCCTTAAAAAATTACAAGCGAATCTCATGCAAAATCATATCCATACTCAGTAACAATTTCCATAGAAATATAGACAGCTCCTCAATTAGTTTGAAATTCCAATGAACACACACGTAAAGAAATACTTACAATCCGAAACGAATCACATAAAAAAGAAAGAATTCTGTCACTGTCGCATTTCGTACCAACACAGCCAACTTTTTGTTTCCATGAAATAAATTCTTCGTAGTGGTAAAAAATCTATGGCACAGATTCGAGAAAAATATCACTAATACTGAGAAAAAACTTGTTCCGTGTGTGTCATAGGGCACTTGCAAAGAGCGAAAAATGTATTTTACTTTTCCGTACACAACGTGTCAAGGGAAAGTATAGGAATTGGTCCCGAAATCTTTTTTCGCAAAATTAGCTTAGATCATCATAAAAACTCATGAAACGTCGTCGTTGTCGTCGTTGTCGTCGTCGTCGTTGGTGTTTGTTAACACGATAACTCAAAAAATAATTGAGATAATCAAAATCTGGAAATGCCAAAAGTTTTGTATCCGAAAAACTTAGTTTAAGTTCGAAGATGAGCCATTTTCGATTTGATCCTGGGGTACTTGCCCTAAGAAAAACCTAAAAAAATGGCACTTTTGTATGGGAGGTACCTGTAAATCGACTCCGATTGGCTTCAAACTTTCTGGGATTTCATTTTTTGAGAGAAAAATGAGATTCTGAAAGTTTGAAACCAATCGGAATCGATTTACCTCCCATACAAAATTTTTGAAATTTTGACCAAAATTACCGATTTTTGGACAATTTTGTTAATTGATTCTGATTGGCTTCAAACTTTCTGAGGTTTCATTTTTTGGAGAAAAAATAAGATTCTGAAAGTTTCGTGTTGATCGCATGTGCAGAAGTTTGGTTTTTGGCTCTCAATTTTTTCCAAGAAAATTTCGACAAAAATTGAGGACAAAAAATCAAACTTCTGCAAATGCGATCAACATGAAACTTTCAGAATCTCATTTTTTCTCCAAAAAATGAAACCTTAGAAAGTTTGAAGCCAATAGGAATCGGTTTACGGGTACCTCTCATACAAAATTGTCGAAGTTTTAGTTAAAGTGACCGATTTTTCACTTTATTTTTATTATTATATTTTCACTGCCTTTACTTCAAGAAAATTCACAAAAAATAACCAAAAGTACTTACGGACAACGCAGGCCAACGGTACGGAAAAGTTCGGGATTACCAATGTAATTCTTTTTATATTTTATTAAGCACTTAGTTATTAGTTTATCAAGCACTTTTCAAGAAGTTTTTACCTAGCATTAAATTTTCGTTTAAGCTTTACTATCTAAATACGGTCAAATTAATTATAATGCCATCGTTAGATGGCGTTTGTTCTGGTCAAAAGCTTAAAGGTCCTCCGCGGTGTGCGTTTTTCATATTATCGCTAAAATTTTATCTCATTAACCCGCGTCCGCTGGAAGTGTCAATTTGACACTACACACGAAGAGTGTACGACACACATATGAATATGCATATGGAAAATATGTTATGGCTGTGCTAAATGATTGAAAAGCAAAGGGTGAACATAATGCATACCGGGCAACGCAGCCAACTTCACGTTGGTTGTCACTTGGTTACTACTGCAACGCATTGACGTATGCTTGTGTTCGAAAAAAAAAACCCAATGAACTAAAACCAAATGAAAATTTATTCCAAATAATTTGAGAGATATATTTTTTAATAAAGTATAATTTCTACTTATATTCAACCAAGTTTTAGATTAATCATAGTCTTTGTTTTGCTGCAACAAGACTTTGTTGTTTAGTCAGAATGAAAGTAGAAAATAATTGTGAACAATCCATTTCAAAGTCTTATTGCAGCGAAACCAGCTCTATGATTTTTTTTAAATTTTGCCAAATATAAGTAGAAAAGGTACTCTTTCAGGAAATATGTTTTCTAATTTTTTTTTTGAATCTACTTTTCATTTGGTTTTAGTTAACTTTAATCTGGTTATTTTTCAATCAGAAGCATACGTCAATCGCAATGCAAAGTGGCACAAGCTTGTACCATTTTTCGCATACACATGCGTATGAACGCAACGATTGTATGCAGAAAATGGGACATGCTTGTGCCACTTTGCGTTACGACTGACTGTAGTTGACCGGACAACCGCTTTGGCGTGGCGCTGTCAACAATGTTGCCCCATTTATTCACACTTTGTTGAAAAGAAACATCACAATGGCTCACTGAATCACTAAATCACTGACCAATTTTCATGACTCGTCCCGATATCGAACGAACGGGCAGACATATTTGAAAACAGACAATTGATTTGAATTCTACAATTTATCTACAATTTTTTGAAACCATTCTCCATTCGAAACAAACATTTGATTCATGGAAAATTGGTTTTTTGACCAAGATTTGAGCATCCCCATTTTGGAGCGGTTTTTCGATAGCCGATTACTCAAAAAAATTGTACCTACATAAAAAAAAGTAAATACACTACATTAAACTACATAAAATCTACAATTGAAATCGCCCTAAACGAAGACATTTTGGCAAATTTGCCAAGATTTGAATATTCATCTAACATTGAAATTATTTTCGAAGAAAGATCAACTGAAAGGTGCAAATATTTATTTAGGGCTTTCTGAGTTTGTAGCTAAAAAAATACTGATTTTATTGTACCTCTTATCTATAATTATACTTCGGTGTGACATACATATTAAACAGAAACTATGACACTCTTCATAATTACATTGATCATGTAACATATATTTAAATAGACCAAATATCGGACTACAATGGAGATGGAATCAGCTATAGAGTTGTCTATAACAAAAGTATACACCTTCGATCCACAAGTGAGATGATGCAAAACGAAAAATAAGCGTGCAACCCTTCACGAAGGAATGATATAGTATGGAAACACTTCGCCACATAGTAGTTAGACTACAAATAATACAAACACAATGTCCCATTGTTCATATTTTAACAACGAAGTGACGAAGCGTATTCACGCTATATCGTTCCTTCGTGTGGATTCGCGATCAGAAAGCAATACGTATTGAAAGATGATTTTCATAAGAATAATTTAAAAAAAAAAACGTCTTTGATTTTGTGGGACTGATGCTCTTTGCAGCTGTTTATGGTTAGTCAAATTATATATTTTCAAAGAATAGTACAAATCATTCGAAGAGTGTATCACGTGGAAAGTGTAATGGCCATGCGGAATATGTCAAAGCCATCGACAGAATATGATTATTGCATAAAACTGAAACTAACATTTCAACCGATTTTATTTTCATTGACCCAATTTCACTCTCCCAATTGTCAACATTAAAACAACCGAAGTGTCTCCAGCCAATCGATATAGGCAAAGACGGGGTTATTCAACGCACTTTTCTTAAATATTTTAAATCTCCCGACCTAGTCATGCAATCCAATTCATTGTTATATCATATGATAGGTATTGTCGATGTGCATCTTTTGATGTATATATGGTGAGTGATTTTTTTTTGGCTAATTTTTTCGACGAGATATCGTGTCTGGACATTCTAGAAAAATAAACAAATTTAATAGCTCTAAATTTCATGTAATGCTAAAAATAACTACCACCAAGTTGTGAGAATTCGAATTTTATTGAAAAAATGGGCAAGAAAAATCAAGTCATGGGTGGCCAAAAACACATTCGTCGCTCTGTAGAGTCTGTGAGATACTGATGACAACAAGCGATACTAACCAAATGGGAAGAATAAGATGGTGAAACTAACGATATACAACACTTGATACTTGGCCTTATCGTTTTAAAGATATCTTGACTTGGGATTTTTTTGTGTTGATTCACTCAGTTTCGCCAGTTTTTTGTTGGCAATTTTTTCGAATTTTTCCAACGATTTTAGTATAAGCAATGTTTCTTTCTCAACTTTTCAATATGGGCTACACTAACATTAAATTTATACCCAAGCCTCGATTTCATGTATTACTTTACATTAAAGCCGTCAAATGACTGCTGCTATCGACGTCTCACTGCGACAACGTTAACTACAGTATACACCGTGCACTTCTTCTTCTTCTTCTTCTTCTTCTTCTTAACTTATGCCACTTTTTTCTGTTGTGAGTATGAAGCTTACGTTGTCGCAGTGAGATGTCGCTTCAGCACCATATGGAAAAAGGAATCAAGACTCGTTTATACCGTAATCACAATGTGTATGGAATGCATAAAATAAAGCGCCATCTGTGTCATGATTCTTTTAATCGTTCAAGTCCAATGTATTCAATTTGAACGCTCGGAAAACGTTCAAACGTTCAACATCATCATTCCATATAGTATTGCATAGTTCATTTTCCATAGACTTGGTGGCGCTTATATTGTGACAAACGTCAAAGCATAGGATTGTATACATTACATATTGTGATTCCGTTTATACCGCTTGCATACTCTGCTGTCAAACGAGATTATTTTTTGCTCACATCATTTTTTTTTTATTGCTTAGCATCTTTTTACCACATGTATCAACGTCACATTTTATGATGAAGTAATCATAAATCATATCGTCTCATTTCAAATGCTGGTAGTGAATCACAGTTGACTAATTTCCTGTTAAGCGCCCCATTCACAATCACATCTGGTTGATTTAGAATAATTGAACTGTTGCCGTCCGTCTAATGGGAATAAAAACAACGTATCGAATTGGTCGACGACCCAAAATGAAATGCAGCTCTACATGTAGAAAAAACGCTGTGTTTCGTTTTGTTCAGCAACTAATTCATTACGCTGTTTTTGTTACATGAAACACAACTGAAACACAACTGTTTTTGTTCGCAGCCGATCAATTTGACTGAGATTTCTGTTGAAATTCAATCACATCAAAAAATGTTCGGTTAAAATGAATCGTTTTGAGTTAAAATTAAAAATGACGAATAATTTTCGTTTCTGTTAGGTAGAGCCAACACATTCTTATCACATTTCATATTTTTCCTCGGAAATTTCATATCGCAATCAGAGCTGACTAATATGAACAATATGGAATTCGTTCAACGGGAAATAGCATTCTATTTATACATTCGAATTATCAGTTTTTTTAAACGATTTTTGAAGCAACCTTTACTCAATTGGGCTTATCAGTTTGTTGAAGGTTCACTTTGATATTGCAAAATTCGATTCGAATTTCACGCTTGGACAATTCAATTTGAATTCCACACTCACAGCTCAATATACAGCGAACCTATAGTACCTATAGTACCTATTCCCCGTTCTAGCGTTAGCTTGAAGAAGCCAATTCATTATTTTTTAACGTATCAGCAGAAATTTCTGCCGTTTAATCTAGTCATAGTATTATTGTATTTCACTGTTTGTATTTTTGTTGAAAAATAAAAATCAAGCCGAACGATATAATCTGGCAACAGCTTCCGACTATTCGATTGTGGTCAAAAATCTAGCGGTAAACGTGAGATTACGCCGAATATTCGATAAGATTATGCGAGAGAATTTTTGGTATATACAAAAATTTGTGTGTTTTTTTGACGTTCTATACAAATTCATCGAAGATAAAACCGGCCAAACCACGACGATAGCCATACAACATTGGTGTTTCTTCTACACCACACTCAGATGCGTTTGATTTTAATTCTTTTGCTAGATCTGTTATTCGTGCGCGCTTTGTGATGATTTTATATTATTGACAGTGTGCCATAGAACTCGACGGAATAGGCGGAGATCGAAATATTCAAATGAGTGTGTGTGAGAGCTATAAAAGAGAAAGCAGTTGGTGTGTTTACACTCAGTTGATGCTCATCATACATGTGTGATTGATCTTGAACGTTTTGTTATTATTTTTTTATTCGGATCAGTCGTGGTACACGTGTTAGACAATATTTGCTTGGTGCTTAACAAAATGAATGTGGATCGTGATTATATAAATGAGTTAAGAAACAAATTTAGTGATACACAATTTAAACGCATCGCACCAAAACATGGTAGATATGTGACAAATCCTATAAATCGAAACACCAACAATGATTTGCGCATATACACCGAGACACAAGTCAAAAGAACGCTACGAAGTTGGGCCAGTCCGTTTGTATCGCAGAATGTAAAGTTGAAACTCGCGTATTTTTCACAACAAGAAGATACCGATGAAAATCGAATTTATAAACGTGATCCGGTGCGCGAATTACAATTCGATGACAAATGGACAATTCAAAATATCGGACATGCAACTCAATTGATTCAATTTCCGAGCTGTACCATATTAACTGATCCCGTGTTTAATAGTCTTTCGCAATTATTCTATCGGAAACAGAAAAGACCGAATCGTATCCAAGTATTGA